GTCAAGTCCCGGCCGGTCGATGGTGAAGATCACCCCGGCGAGTACCGGTCAGGTGGCCTTCGCTGCCGCATACTCCGCCTGGGCCCTGGAGTTGACGGGCCAGGTGTGGCAACGCCGGGTGCTGCCTGTACAGGTCGCGCTCCACCCAGTGGAGCCGCAGGGACTGGATTTGGGTGTGGCACCGGTCCAACTGGTGCCACAGGACTGGCGACACTTGTCGCCTCCGGGGTGGATGGCGCTCCGCCGGCCACGACTGGTGCTGTTGTTGGGCCCCCTGCAGGCTGGTCCTCCGAAGCGACGGCCGAGGGTGGAAGCCAGGTCCCGAGGCGAGGCCTGACATGGTCGGCGTGCCGGTGCCAGGTGGTCCCGTCGGGCATGCGGACGAGCAGCGACGAGGCACTCGCTGGTGAAACCACACGCCCGGCAGACCAGGGTGGGCCAGGACGAAAGTTCCTGGCGTAGACCGACGCTCCCGGCTCCGGCAAAGGCCCGGGACGGCACCCTCGGTCAGCAGCCAGCTTCTGCTTCAGCTGCTTCAGGAGCGCCGTGGACCGGAGGTCTGGATGCAAGACGTCCAGGGGGGTCTTGACCATCCGGCCCAGCAGAAGCTCGCAGGGGGCACGGCCAGTGACCTCATGCGGTGTGGTCCGGTACTGGAACAGTACCCGGGCCACCTGCGCTCGGAAATCCCCGGGCTGGCTCTTCTTGAGCTTGTCCTTGATGGTCTGGACCACTCGCTCGGCCGCACCATTGGAAGCGGGGTGGTACGGCGGAACCAGCATCCGGCGGATTCCATTCCTCTGCAGCCAGTCCAGGTACTCGGCGCTGGCGAAAGCGGGACCATTATCAGACACGATAATGTCCGGCAATCCCTGCGCCGCGAAGACCTGCCGCAGAGCCGCAATGGTCGCGCTTGCCGAGGGACTGGTGACTGGCAGTGCCTCCACCCACTTGGAGAAGGCGTCCACTACCACCAGGAAGTAGTGGCCCTTGAAGGGTCCCGCATAGTCCACGTGCAAGCGGGACCACGGCCTCTGTGGGAACGGCCAGGGGGTGATCTCCACGTGGCGCGAGGCTCGCTGGTTTTCCTGGCAGACCTGGCAGCCTTGCACCTGGTGCACGATGTCCTGGTCCAAGCCAGGCCACCAAACGTGCGACCGTGCCACCATCTTGGTCTTTTCGATGCCAGGATGCCCCGCGTGCAGCAGCTGCAGCACCTTGGCCCGCAGACTTTGTGGAATCACCACCCTGGAACCCCACAGGAGGCAGCCTTGCTCCAAGCTCAGCTCGGCGGTCTTGTGGCTGAATGCCTGGTGACGCAGCTCCTCCCCTCGGGCAACCGCCTTGACCACCTGGGACAGCACCGGGTCCCGGCTGGTCGCCTGCGCCACCGCAGTCCTGGTGAGCACCCCCGGGTAGGCCCGCTCCAGCAGGAACACGTCAGCTGGCTCTGGAACGGCAGCAGGCACCTCCGGCAGGGGCAGGCGGCTCAGGGCGTCGGCAGGTCCCAGGTCCTTCCCAGGGCGGTAGACCAGCTTGTACCTGTAGGCTGCCAGCGTCAAGGCCCAGCGTACCACACGAGGCGAGGCTAGCACTGGGACTGCCTTGTCAGGTCCCAGCAGCCCCAGCAGCGGCTTGTGGTCCGTGACTGCCTCGAACTGCCGGCCCCACAGGTACTGATGGAAGCGCTGGACCCCGAAGATGAGGGCCAAGCCTTCCTTGTCGAGCTGGCTGTAGCGTTGCTCCGCCGCATGAAGCCGACGAGAAGCAAACGCCACAGGGTGTTCCTGACCATCCTGACCCCGGTGCGACAGGACGGCTCCTACCCCGTACGGCGACGCATCCACGGTGAGGACTACAGGCTTGGCCGGGTCGAAGTGCACCAGCACTGGAGCCTTAACGACCAGCTCCTTGCTGTGCTGGAAGGCCAAGTCCTGCTCCTTCTTCCAGGCCCACTGCTGCCCATCACGAAGCATGCGATGCAGCGGCTCCAGATGCGTCGACAGGTTGGGCAGGAACCTCCTGTAGAAGTTGATGAGGCCGAGGTAGCTCTGAAGCTCCTTCTTGCTCTTGGGCTTCGGCGCCTTGAGCACGGCCTCAATCTTGCGGGGTGCCGGGGCCAGGCCAGCCTGGGAGATGATGCGTCCCAGGTACTCCACGCTGGGGGTCAGGAACACGCACTTGTCCAGCCTCAGCTTGAGACCGGCGTCCTGCAGTCGTGCCAGGACCTTGCGCAGGTTCTGCAGGTGGTCCCCGTCGTCGGTACCGGTAACCAGGATGTCGTCCAAGTACACCGCCACGTGCCTCATGCCCCTGAAGAGGTTGTCCATCTCTCTCTGGAAGATGGCTGGGGCTGAGGCCACGCCGAACGGTAGGCGCGTGTACTGGAAGAGTCCCATAGTTGTTGAAATGGTGACATACTTCCGGGCGGCATCCTGGAGCACCAGCTGCTGGTAGGCATCTCGAAGGTCGAGCTTGGAGAACTTCTGTCCCCCGGACAGAGCCGACCAGAGATCTTCTACCCGAGGCAGCGGGTACTTTTCGACGGTAGCGACGGGGTTGATGGTGACCTTGAAGTCCCCGCAGATCCTGACGCGGCCGTCTCGCTTGAGGACTGGAACGATTGGTGCAGCCCACTCGGAAGTCTTGACGGGCACCAGGATACCCTCTCGCTGCAGCCGTTGCAGCTCCTGCGTGACCCCGTCCTTCAGGGCGAACGGCAGCGGACGCGGCTTGAAGAAGCGAGGCCGGGCTCCTTCGGGTACGTGGATGCCGACCGTCGTGCCGGCGAAGGTGCCCACCCCTGGCTGGAACAGGGACTGGAAGTCGGTCAGGAGGCTCGGGACGTCCTTCACCACGTGCAGTGCAGCTTCTTGGTACTCCGGCAGCCGAACACCCAGCGAGTGAATCCAGTTCCGGCCCAGCAGCGTCGGCGACGACCCCTTGGTTAAGTAAAGGGGAAGGATTGCCTCCCTGTCGCCAAGGCGAACGCTGACTTGGGCCCGACCCTGGACCTGGGAAAGCTGCCCGGAGTAGCTGCGCAGCATGACGTCAGACGCCTCGATGGACACGCCGGGGAAGGTCCGCTTGAACAGCTTCCCGGGCATGACCGACACGCTGGCCCCTGTGTCCAGCTCCATGGTGATGGGGTGGCCGCAGATTTCGACGGACACCAAGTATGGTGGCACAGACGATGGAAGTCTGTTGGTGTGCCACACGTCGAAAATCTGCGGGTCCTCGGCCACGACGTGGACCCTGGCTGAAGACGAACCCGGGCCTGGTGCCGCTCGTCCCCGCCGCGTTTTCTTGCGACGGCCACCCTGGCCGCGGGCTTGGCTGGAACCCGGGCTTGAACCAGGCTGCTGCTGCTGCTGCTGGCCGCCGCTCGTCCTCCCCCCTCGGCAGACACGTGCGAGGTGCCCAGTTCTCCCGCACGTGAAACATTGTGCTTGGACGAACTGGCACTGTGAGGGGGAGTGGGCAGCACCGCAGCGGCTGCAGGCACCGCTCCTTGCCGCCATCTTGTTCACCGCCGCTTCCGTCGACGGTGAGCCGGCCGCATGCGCAGTCTCGCTGGCGTCGTTTGCTGCGGCTTCCATCGCCAGCGCTGCCTTCACCGCGTCGTCCAGCGAGGGGTCGGGGAGCTCCAGGAGTCGCGTCTGCATGGCGGGGTTGTTGATGCCGCAGACGAACCGGTCCCGGAGTAGCGAGTCCAACTGGTCGCCGAAGGCGCAGGTGCTCGCTAACCCTCGTAGCGCAGCGACGAACTGCCCGAGGGTCTCCCCGTCCTGGCGGCTCCGGTTGTTGAAGCGGAACCGCTCCATAAGCGTGGACGGCGCCGGGCTGAAGTGCGAGCGCAGCGTGGCGAGCAGCTCACCCAGCGTTTTAACGTGCGGCGTGGCCGGCTTGAGGAGGTCGAGCAGGAGGCTGAAGACTCGGGTCCCGCAGCTGGCCAGGAAGATGTCCCGTTGTTTCCCCTCGGGCGTGTCGTTCGCCCGGAAGAACACGTGGACTTGTTCTTCGTAGACTGGCCAGGCGGACCCATCTCCGTCGAAGGGCTCGAGCCTCCCGTAGAGCGGCATGGCGACAGGAGCGGGCGGCGGTGTTCCGACTCTCTCGGCGGCGTGGGCCGAACCGTGCACGTTGGTGGCCTCCAGTGCCACGGTTCCTCGTCGCCAGTGTCACGATCTTTCTGGAACGTGGACGAAGGGGGGCCGAAGCACCCGCCGAGGAGAGACGACACGCAGCCTGGTTGTGAGGGTGGACGATGTCTGATTGGAGCGCGTGCGCTCAACGGCGTTTATTGATGTGGTGATCAATGTTGCCCGCCGAGCCAGGCGGCCGCAGACGGGCGGACTGGAGGGGGGCGCTACATACTTGTTACATACGTATGGAGGTACAAGGCTGCCAAACCGCGAGCCGTACTTCATTCTGCCTGAAATCCCTTCTTTTTTTCCTGGGGAAACGCGGGAGGGGGGGGGGGGGGGGGGTCCCCTTACGAGGGATCCGCGAGCCGCATTTGGACCAGCAAGAGCCGCGGTTTGGCCACCCCTGCCATATATGATAATATAAGGAGTCAAATGTGGCCATATACCGCCATATATGGAAGAAAATACTGCCATATATCGCCATATACGCTTGCAAATACTGCCATACATGCCACAGAAGTGCGTAAATACGGCCATATATCTCCATATACGCTCGCAAATACGGCCATATGTCGCTGTATAAAAGTTCAAATACTGCCATATATAGCCCGCTCACGACATATATGGCTAGCACGAAGGGAAGGCAATGGCGCTTTCCTTTCAGGGTCCGGTGACTAAGTCCGTAGGCCTACAGAGGTAACGAAGTTAAACACACAGACCCGCTTATTGTACGTAAGCGCGTTGTACTTTGCCGTGTTTTTTTTTTCCTTCCCTTTTGTCCGAACACAAGAGAGGCGACCAATAAACCAGGACAGCCAACGAAGGAAAAGAAAAAAAGGAAGACGATTGAAAATAGAAAGTTTCGTGGACATTTATTTACAATCTTTAATACTGAAGGCCCCTGGACGACCACATCACGAGTAATACACGATCGAGCTCCGATTGTATGTATACATGAGCAACTAAACCGAGACATGGCGGTAACAACGAGCGTAGTACAAGACGGCATTTAGGTCCCCACGTGTCCCAGATTTTGCATCATGAACAAGAGAGAAAAAATCAATCCTGTACCAACAGGATGTTATGGCACTAGGCACACTGCTTCTCAAAAAAAAAAAGAAAAAAAGTATATTTTGTTTTACCAGGGACTAAATGCACAAGCTACAAACGTGAGGTATCTCCGAATAAAAAGTTAGGGCACAAACGAGCTGGTTAAGGTTTAACATATTTTAAGTCAGACTGCCGAGACTGATTGAGACTCTGTCATTTGTGTTGTCCTTCGTCTTTTACCGAGTCTCGGGGGTTTGTCTTAATTAGGTCTCTGCCGTTGATCGCACCTTAAAGTGCACCAGTAGAAGATACCCCTCATGATTGTGGCCGGTTAGTCCATGTTAAGGTGCAACGACGTATAGGCTGCGAAGTTTAACAGTCGTCGTCTAGTTTATTGTTGGCGAAAAATGAAAAAAGAAAACACATAGCTTTCATATCTTCTATTGTTCACAGATTCACGTGTTAAACGCAAGGCCGAGCTTAGCACTGAGAAAGCATATGAAAAGCGTGCACATGAGGTAAAGCCCCTCCATGTTTCGAAAGTAGCGCAAGGTTCGTTGATGCACGAGGCACGTGCAATGCGCAGCCCTTGGGAAGATCATGGCGGCACAGCGCAGCAGTGATACGCAGTGAGCTAGATTTACGACGCCATGAATTTCCCAGAAGTGGCGCGCAGCACGTGCCTCGAGCATTTCTACAACAACGAATGGCGCCACTTTTCCCAGGATAGAGGGGCTTTGACGTGAGGATCATTGCAGCGCTACTGAGATGTTTCTGGTAGAGTTCCTTGACACACGCGCTTTTGCATGAGGGGTGACATCTCATCCGTATTATGTCTTTTGAAGAACATGCAATCCAGTGTGACAAAGGTCGAGCGCGTAGCCTTGGCTCATGCTTAGACGTTGGTTTACCGCACAACACACGCACTGAGTGGGCGTCACGCGCTGGCCCACTCAGTGCAACAAAGGATGTCTTCATCCTGAGGCAGACAGACATGTAGGCACCCTAGTTTCTGGACCCAGTCGCTCGGGGCAAGGGTGCGTTGCATACCAGCATGTTGAAGCCACTCTTACCAGTCGAAGCGTATTAACAAATTGCAAGGTGCATTTCATGAAAGAATGGAAAGATGCAGCGACGTGCGTGCACTTTCAGGCTGCAGATTTTTACACGCTGAAAGCCTGAAGAGCGCTATAACTTGGAATGTCCGTACAGAAAGTTTAGTTTGCTCAATGCCTTCTGGCGATTCACACTAACCTCTTTGAGTAGGATGCTGGCAAACGCGGATATGCCCCGCTTTCACCTACAAAATGAACGTCTGACTAGCGATATGCGCCATGATAATCGGTATGTCAGTGTCAATGGACGCTGACTCATACTATTGTTTGGAGAGTATTACCTCAGCGCAAACTTGTTCCCATCGATGTCACGGTATTCGTCCCCGGAATGATAAACAAAAGAAAAAAATGCAGTGACAACAGAGTGAGGTGGAAACCCTGACTCATAACCACATTTAAGCTTCGTCGTCTTTTTCTCTCTTGCTTGTGGAGAAAGATGAAGCGAACGTTAGGAAGTTCAGAAGAATGGCACAGTGGCACAGGATCACGAATTGTAGAGCTTCATACTCGGTGACGGGAAAGGTTATAAGCGCCTGAGCGCCGGTCAAGGGCATGCCCATTTTACCGACCTTTGAACAGCCTCAGCATAAATCTGAGCGAAGCAGCTGGGTGTCGAACGCAGCTGAAGCTACAAAGGAGTGTTTCGTGCCTTGAGTGTGCCTGCAGTGCACATGTTCAAGGACGCTCGTTGAGTCATGTTCGCACTTGCAGTTTCGGCTTCGATGCCGCTTCGGCTGCCGTGCACGCTGCGTCTATGTCATGCATGCACATACGCTCAGCTAAGCACCTTTAGAGGCAACATCCTTTCGCTCTTAGCTTCCATTTCGCTCCCATTCATGAGGGTAGGCACAACAGTGTTGGGTTAAAAATAAAGGGGGTGGGCTAAAGCCCGACTTGAACCGATGCTGTCAAAGGCATGCACGCGCAGCCCTTTGAAATGCACGAACTGATTGCGACGGAGAAGATACCTGAAGGTTAAACAAACTCTTGTATGAGAGAGAAACGGAGCGTAGGCCACTAACCACTTTGAAGGACACTTGTGTAGTGAAGGCGCCGGTGACATCATTATGATCGTTGTAAATGCACAGCTCTGGGAAAACATATGAACCCTTCAAAGACCTTTCGTGTCCCTGTCGAGATGTGGCCTTTTGTTCATTTGTTGGCTAGTTTGTACTGAGCAGAAGCTTTCGGATGTCATGCGGGCTGTAAGCTCCCGGACCGAAAGTATCCAAACTGTGGCCACGATATGCAACCAAAATCCGCGTGATTGTTCTTCAAATTCTCATTGATGCAGTCACAATACCAAACCATGTTCTCCACTCATTTTGATTGTTTCCGTTAAGCTGAAGCCGGTCACGTCAGAATTCCTGGAGCACTTCACTTCACTTTGCCAGCCGACGCGAAGTAGGGGGGTGGAGTTCGTCTTAAAGAGGATTCTTGACCTGGTCACAGGCAATACTGGGAATCTGGTTCCTAGGAGGAATGGGGCTTGGGCATTCGGATCTCTAGGAACACTTTGACGATGCGTCGCCTTGCCCCGATGGCCCGGCCCCGCTGTCGTCAGGGAGCGGATAGTTGACGTAGGTGACGTTCAGGCTGACCCTCTTGTTGCGGCTCTCCTTCTCCATGGTCCTGATGACATTCGACACGTCCGTCACGAGTCGCGCGAACGACGGACGCTTCTTGGGGTCATGGTCCCAACACTGCAGCATGATTTCGTATCTGCGGTAGAAAGACGGCGCATGGTGCGTGGCCTATTAATTGTGGTTTGTCTCCTCGATAACGCGGTCAAGTGCTGTGCAACCCGGATGTTTCGAACTGTTTGTGACTCGCATGTTGAAGAAGACTCATTAATCGCAAGAGAGAAACAGCGGGCGAGGGCCGTGCTATCTCGTCATCTGTCTTAGGTGTTTCTTCGCTAGTGATCTCCTGGCCGGCATGCTAGAATCAGCATCTCATTTTAGACCGTGGGCTAAGCTAAGACAATTCGAGCAAGAAGGCCCTCTCTCCCCACCTCGAGTATAGATACCGAGTCTTTGACTTATTTGAGCGAGTTTTCCGAAGTTGAGAGTTGGCACATGTGGCACCTAATTTTAGTGAAGATGCAGCCGAGCTGTTTTGATAGAGATTTTTCCACCCTGGAAAGGGGGCACACAAAACAGACAACAATGCGTTTGTTGTGCAGTCCATCTCACTCCACTATCCAGGGTTAAAATTGCTATTTAGTGCAGTAGTTCTGCCCCGACAGAAGGTCCGGAGGTAAGAAGTAGACCCTACAAAATCACAGGCTTGCAATCATGACTCACAGCATGGTCGGACAGAAGGTAGGCTGCTGCATCCTGCGTCCTTGTTGGAGAAAATTTATGATGTCCCAGTTGTCCACTTCCGGGTAGGGCGTCACGCCTCGGGTCATCAACTCCCACAACAAAACTCCGTACGCCCACTGAAAAAAAAAAAAGAAAAAAATGAAAGCCGTTTACAACTCCCTGTAACGCAGCAGGTACGGAAAGGGGGCTATGCCCCTCCTCCTCTCCTGCTCGCCCCCTATTTAAGGAAAAATTGATACGTGACGCAGAGTATCAAGTGCTCAAGCGTGACAGGCTTGGCAGGCTTTCTTTTACACAGTCTCAGCTAAGGCAATGATTCTAGCAAGCCTGCCCAGATGAATGGGTACAGGCTTTCACGTGACTGATTTCTAGCATACTTTTTAATTTGTTAGTGCTATGCATAAAAACGTGCGGTTCTATTCCCCGTGTCCACGCACCACGTCCGTCTTGTGGTTGTAGATGCCCTTCTCCAGACTCTCGGGGGCCATCCACTTGACAGGAAGCTTGGTCTTCTTATTGTCACCGCTGTAGTACTTTTCGTACACGTCTCGTGACAGTCCGAAGTCGGCGACGCGCACAATGAAGTCTTCGCTTAACCTATAATAATTAGAGAAAAAAACACCGTTAAAAGTATAAACCTGCGATAATGCCCTCAGTTGGTCCCCGTGGGGTATGTCCTCCACATTGACACGGGGAGGTCACCGACCTATGCAAACTCGTTTCTACTTACATGCAGTTGCGTGCTGCGAGGTCCCTGTGCACAAACTTGGTGTCGGAGAGGTATTTCATGCCCTCAGCTACATGGATTCCGTAGGTGATCAAATCCTTCACCGTTGGTGACTGCAACACACATACATTTCTTTTGAGCTCAATTCGAATCTTCATCGGCAGTTATAAGAGTGTAGGGGTAAAAGCTACAATTGCATGATTAACCCAACCTATAGAGGACCTGGCAAAATGTTAAAAAAAAAACATGCAAAATGCCATCGACTATAGTCGGTGACAGATTACGATTTCAGGGAAGCTTCTCTCTCCCCTTTAGCAAACGAACGATGGAGAAAGGGCGACCTCCTCTCCAGTGTTCGCTCTGCTAAAAAGAGGAGAGAAGCCTCCCCTGAATATAGTCCAAATAACATCTGTCAATATAGTCCAAATAACATCAGGAGCAATATTACTTTTGCATTACTTTTTTATGAAGTACAGTAATACCTCGTTAACTCGAAGTCATAAAAAACGTGAAAAAATTCGAGATAAGCGAAATTTCGAGATAAGCAAAGTACCGGAATGTTTTACCACTGATCGCGCAATGTTTTAAATAAAACTTCTAACATTCGCGGGAACATGAACTTCTCTGATGAGAGCAACTTTCCTCTCAAGCGTCAGTGATTTGCACTGTTTGGGCTGCGCCATCTTCACGGTCAATCAAGTCACGCGCCAACAACATCAAAGAATTCACAACCGATGACTGAATTGAACACTTCACCCTTGCCTGTATGGCACCGCGAGACGATCCAAACACTGGAAAAAAAAATGGCGGACAAGCAACACAGAGCAGCAACACTCAAAACGAACGAGACACCTCTGGGAAACACGAGACCGATGACGACAAATGGAAGAATCCAGGAGCAAGGAAAAAAAAGAAAGACAAATGAAAATCGTAAAAACAAAACAAAAAAAGTAAAAAAAAAAAAAAGGTTTTTGAGTTGCACATCTCTATGCATCTCCGTACATCACACCCGCGGTTATATCTTTCTGTATTGTTTTCTTGCGCTTTCGCGATTTTATTATCTTTTTTTCTTTGTGCATGCGCGTTTCCTTGTTGTTGTTGTTGTTTTTTTTTTGTTTTTTTTTTTGCGCGCCGCGCACATTTGTTGTTTTGGCTTTTTTTTTTGTTGTTTATTGTGTTGTTTTTTTTTTTTTTTGCGATTTTCGCTGACAAGATTTTGAGATATCCGAAGTTTGTCCTGAAAACCTTTCGAGATAAGCAAGAACAAAATGCATTGCGCCTATGGGAGCTCATTCCATGACAAGGGAATTTTGCGACTTAACCACTATTTCGAGATAGCTGTGTTCGAGTTAAAGAGGTATTACTGTAATACGTTTTACTGTTTTGACGTTACAGGTACGCTTAAGCGCCATATTTCAAGAAACTGGGAGTGTTTGCGTGGGAACAAGAGTTCTAGGCAAAATTTTGAAGGGATGTGGGACGAGTGCAAGAATTCATATGACTTGGTGCCCGTAAACGTGAAATTAATGAAAGGATAAGTTTTAATGCGAAAGCATTAACTGTCTCATAGAGTAAGCCGACGTCATTAGCGTGGAAACCATGCAAAACAGCACCTTAATGAAACCACGCGCAAGGCTAGCCAACGGCACCTTTTACACTTCTTTCCCATTGGCTGGCGCGCGTCGACGATGCTCCTATTGGTTGATGCACGTCAGTTTGTGTGGTGTCATCCTGACTGTGTTATCACACTGTTGTGTTATAACTGATCACCATGTTCGCTCGCCTCTTATCGGTTATACGGCGCGTGGCAATATATACGGCATATGGAATAAACCAAGGGGTTTGTTCTGCTGGGAACTACGTTGCTGTCTGTTCCTTCCTCGCGCCGCGAGGCACACGACACTTTGAACGATCGCTCACCCGACGGCGCTGAGTGTCTGCAAGGCAGCGGCTCCACCGTTTCACGCCCAAGGTCAGTGCGTTGTATGCCGCAGATTAGAAGGGAGCGAAGAGCGGCATGCATGCTTTTGCATTCACAACTCATAAGAAGTGCTTAGGTGTACCTCCAGCCTTTTTTATATATATCGTGGGAAGAAGATGTAACGAGTAACGTAACTATGTTAACCACAACTCGAAGTAACTATGTTATTTGATATTATTTTGAAAGCATAACGAGTAGAACATTATGTTACCGAAACAAGTAATGCGCTCCCGCCAACTCTAGTAAAGAGTTGGTGGCACAGGCGGCCAGCGAATGAAGACTTACGTTTCTCTCCTCGCGTATGTAGGAGAGCAGGTCCCCGTACTTCATGTACGGGATGATGACCATGAGCTGGCCGCCCTCGTCGATGCTCAGGCCGATGAGCGGCAGCACATTCATGTGGTGGAAGTCCTTCATGATCAGCGCCTCCTCCAGGAACGCCTGGCCGTCCGCCTCCCCACCTCTCGAGTCTGCGCCATTCGCACAATCTGATACTTGTAGCAATGAAATGGCTATATTCCCGCTCACGGACGACACATAGTTGGCTCTCAACTTCCCACGAATAAGAAATTGCAAACAATGCTACTTGAGTTCAGTCATCTGCCGAGCTTCGCAGCCTCGATACCGGCACATTGTCAATGTTTTATTTTTTATACTTTTATAAAGTAGTTCAAAGTCAGGTGGGTAGTGACTCGGTGCGAGATTAAAATGTAACGTGGAGACTATACAGTTTTATTACAAATTAATGCACTTTTGCTCATTCATTTTAGAGAACTTACCACCCTTAGTATCGGTGTGGACGCAATCTTATGTTGATACCTAGTCAGATCTTTTTTTTCTCCTTAAACGTGATTTGTATCGTTATTTCTGTTACCGATTCACGTCCAAATTGACTTTTGCGGCACATTGACTGGCGATATGAGCTGGATTGCGCGGCCAGCGACCCGGAGGTACCGGCCACGCAACGAAGCGTCAGAGTGTCAATAGAGGTGATCCCATTTCTTTTTTGCACCCACCGCGCGTGATGCCTCGACACCTTCCGCCGGGTGCATAATTCCGTGCGTGTCGAATTCTCCATGACGTGCATCTGACCGGGGAGGGGGAGGGGGGGGAAGCTAGATATCGCACACGGGGGCTGTCAAAAACGAAGTTAACCTTCGTCGCTCTGCCGCTTCGTTCGACGCTCACTAGACTGCGTGGCCCCTACCGTCAGGTCGTGGGTCACGCATTCCAGCTCATATCACCGACTATTGTACGCATTGTATTCCGAGTTGCGTTAGTTGTTGTTTCTCTCATGTGCATAAAATTTCTACCTATGGTTCTGGAGCACCGAACAAATAAATTAAAATAATTATTATTATGAAGACCAGTAGTAGTGGAATTTATATTGAAAAACAATTTGAATTGCGATAATGAAATAAATTCAGTTTAATTGCAGTTTGCCATTGATATATAATAAGTTATATCTTCAATTAATTTTCCACCCTCTTTAACGCCTTCAATTTCTATCCTGTTTTGCTACGTTAAAGACCACTGCTAAGGGGCAAAAAGGTGTCCCACTCACTGTTGTGAAGTGTCTTCACCGCGACAGACTGGACCTCTCCCTTTCCTTCCAGCTCCAGCGTTCCTCTGTAGACGCAGCCGAAGTGTCCTGCAGAGCACAACACAAACGTCGGGTTCAGATAGACCCACAGCCCTATCGATAAACGCTCGAGTCGGATTATTAAATGCTGAAACCATTCACTTTCACACCGAGCGTTTACTTGAAAGTAAAACTGCATTAAACGACCCAGAGCTAAGCTGTGTTTACACTGGCAGTGTAGTTACATTTCTGAAAGCGGTTGCTGATCTGTATGGCGATCCCATTCAAATCTATACGCTTTTGAAGACGAGAAAGATCAGTTCTGCTTGTGATTCCGCTTCCAATTTGGGTGCCTTCTGGATGCTAAATAAACGTCTTTGGGTACCTCGAAACTATGGCACACATACAACGCGCACGTGACGAGATCGACAGGCTGTGGGTCTCCCTCAAGCGGACTTGATGCTAGTGACAAAAAGGCAACAACCACCCAGGAGCGCAACACTATGTTGCTAGCCGCGGCGAATTCTATGTCTCGTCTGCGTTTTTCAATGTTTACTTGTCAGCCTATGTTAACTGAAATGTTGAGCGTCTGTTGAAACCTGAATTTGCATTGTTCTTCCACAATGGGCATGCCTCGAGCCAACTGTACCACAATGGCCACCAACATAGGGTCACCATGCCAACACCGAGTCGGTATTTCAAAAAGCTGCGCATGCGGCAAGGCAACCTTACCGTAAGTGACAAGACACGATTGGTAGAAACTTGGAAACACGAAGAGAGAAGCTGGCCGCAGTGGGCCTTCCTGGCAGCTACTGAGGACGTGCCAACGGCAAAGACGCTAGTCGGACGCGCTCTTGGAGATAGATGCACTTACCCTGTCCGATGACAGGGCCCAGGGTGAGGAACTCTCGCTTGAAGAGCAGCTTCTCCGCTTCCAGCATCGCCTTGGTCTCGTCGTCCAGTTGGAAGGAGGAGGCAATGAGGGCTTGTCTCGCGTCTGCTTCGTTGCCTCGCACGTAATCTTTGGGAGCAAGAAAGAAAAAAGTTGGTGACATGCTTGCAGTGCGCGGTGACTTTGAAAGGTTTTGTGGCGGCAACTGAAAGAGGCTGTGCCAACATGCAAGTGTGCATGGGGTGCGTGTGTGCAAAAGAAGCTCAAGTGCGTCGAGAAGGACGTTCATAGTGTTGCAAGTTGCGCCAAATGCATGCCATGGCGCATCTATTGGGCGTGATAGTGAAAAATATATAGTTTAATTTTATTTTAAGCAATTGCTTTTACGATAGTACCAACATAGTAGTTTGGAGAGGAACTAGCTTCCAGGCAATCGGTTCACCTACTGTGGGTCGAACAGACACCAGAAATTTCTGCCCACGTGCTGAGACGCAACGCGCTCTCGCACTGGTTGCTCATCTTATGATCCCGCCTTTAAATACCTTGTCTGCAGAACAATTTCCACCAACAACAATTTTAGTGCACGGATGATGGAGTGAGGTGCATACGCCGGCAGCGAGTGCTGAGTCTCGGGGAAGCGTATTACGAACGTCACCACTCAGGCCGTGTTCCAAAATTTACCCGATCTTACTCCATTGTAAGGGTTTTGTACCCTTGGCAATCTAAAACCTACCCGCGTTCAGCGTTCTTCAATCTGTGCTGTCACGTGGTACGATCCGCCGGAGTAACTCGGATCCGTTTGAGTAAGATTTGCAACACAGCCTCAATGTCCGTTGCCTCAAGAGGTCTTCTCCGTGATGCTTACAAACAGCGCAACAACAAAGTGTCATCGACAATCATTAAAAAAAAAATTATAAGAATAGTTTTAGTACAAAGTCCTGTCACCTATAATCTTGGGACAAGAGGGGTTTACCAGGGCCAACTTCACGTCTGCTAGGGCAGTTTTACTGAGAAAAGGGCTATCGCGCAGGCGGGCTGGTGATGCTTAATTATTAAACAAAACCCAGAGACACGGGATACACAAAAAGAGGGACAAACAATTGTTGTTCTATCCCCCCCCCCCCTTTTTTGTGACAGCACCAGGGTTTTAGCTTTTCATAATCAATCAGCACATGGATCACGACACTCAATGAATCGTAAATACTTCCTTTGGTAACTTTGTCCAGTCCCGGGTTCTCGTATGTTCTATTAAAACTATGATGCACTACTATTTTATGCTTTAGTTTTTATTCACTGAGTTCATCGAATCACTAAAGAGGTAAATAACACAACATAGAAAGAAGCTCAGATATCATTAGAGGGCGCCTTTAAACGAGCCGAGATTAGGCCACTTGGCGTCCAATAGAGTGTTGCAAATGAATTGTCTTCTTGAAACGTTGCTACCGGTGCGAGCTATAGCGGGTTAATTTGGGCCGATGGCTTGCTCAAAAGCACGGAGCAGCCACAAATATTTATGCTAGCTATATGTAACTCCTTTACTGCTCTTTATTTTTGAAAATGCGGTGAAATAAATCATGAAACTGAACGTTTCATAATTAAGCACTCTTGACACGAATTACCGAACACTTGTCTGTCAACATCATTTATTTTTAGTTAAAATTACGCGATGTGTTAGTCGGTTAAAATTGTAAGATGGTGGGTTAGTTGCTCAATAATTTTTGAGAAAATTGGATTATAAAGAGTGAAGTGATTGAAGAATTGTTCATGTCGGAAAACACGTCGATCTTTGAAACCTATAGATCTAGTGTGTCCAATGCTATAGTTAAAATAGGCCACGGCGAACGGAAAAAATGAGTAACTTTACACGCCATCTGCGCCAGGCCAAACTGTCTCATCAAGCTCCTCGAAGACCAAGGACTTCAAAATATCAATGAAGCTATTTTGACGGGACGTGCACAAATTATATCAATTACTACAACTTTTAAAAATGATGACACAGAAATAAAAAAAAAAAAAAAACTATGTTCATTTATCCTGACGACAAACGCCGTAATAGTGCTTTAATGTGATGGTAGACGTCGAAATAGCAAATAACTATGGACATATCTTTCGTATGTGACGGAAGATGTGTTCAAAATGGTTTTACAATTAGTTCGAACCCGGATGTCGAAATAGTCACTTCTTAAAAAAAAAAAAAAAAAAAGGCTTCTCAAATTGTGAAATTTTAAGAACTTTCTGGTTGCGTGTTCGATATTCGAGGGGGAGAGCAACACGGGAGATGCAGATTTACGACTTTGTGGTCAGGGGTCGAAGAGCGAAGTCACACAGGTCCCCGACAAACGAATGTTGCCATAAGCTTGGCAGTTTATAACAACAATGATTTCTGGTGTTTACAAATCCAGTGCCCACAGCCCAGCGCGCGCGTATCTGTCGCTTCAGAAACCAAGCAAATCACGGGTTATACGCACGGGCACTGATTACATCACCGGCCAGAAACGATTCATCAAAGCCGTGTTCGTGAGATTCCCCCTGCCGTGTGTAAGTCTTCACAGCTCAACTTTTGGCTCTTTTTTCGACATTTTTCTTCTCCGCCTTTATTGTCAGCATCTCTGTTGTCTGCTTTTTTAATGTGTAAGCATTACCTGGCTCAGTCAGCCGAAAAGCCGTCGGCAAAATCCGTCGTCGAAATCCGTGGCTTGTCCAACACAATCCAACATAATAATATTTAAAAAAAAAACTCAGGTTGCGTGATATCTTTGGTCACGTGATCTCCCTGGTCACGTGATTTCTCTGGTCACGTGACCTATCTGGTCATGTGACCAAACAAAAAAAAAAAGGAAGGTCTGTGGTCACTTGGACAAAAAAAAAAAAAAAGAAACTCTGGTCACGTGACCTCCCTGCCTGCTTTCGAACCTAGGCCCTCTTGATCGCGGAACTAGCGCGCTATCCGTTGCGGCAGCACAACTCGAGAAAAGCTAGTGCTCGCGCATTCTCACATCGTAAGAGGAAGCTTAGGTGCCCTCATAATTTTTGTTTCTCATTTTTTTCCTGTACTTATTTCACACTCCTTGCCTGTACATATTATACACCAAGAGATGCAACGAGTCAAGCTATCCAATATTGGATCTCTTGACGCGTTGGACCTCTTGACACATCGAGGCACGAGTCAAGAAATCCAATATGGGTCAAGAGGTCCAACGCGTCAAGAGGTCCAACGAGTTAAGAGATCCACGGCGAGTCAAGAGGTCCACCGCGTCAGGAGGTCTAACGCGTCAAGAGGTCCAATATTGGACCTCTTGACTCGTTGGACCTCTTGACGCGTTGGACCTCTTGACTCGGATTCAAGAAGAAATGCCAACCACATGAGCTGCAGAGCAACAAGTACGCGTCAGCGAAGTGGATTTTTTCCGCAACTGTACATGGCAAGAGTGCCTACAATGGAATCGGGCGTCGTGTCAAGCACCAGGCAACGTTATACAACCTCCGACGGCCCACCACGTCGGTTATCAAGTCGGCCTCAGAGATGGTTGCCCCACTGAACACTAAACTGTCGAACAGCAAACTAATCCACCTCCCGAAAGCTGACGTCAAAGCGATCGGGGAGATGAAAGCAAAGGACTCCGTTTCTCTTGTGCATGGAATTCAGTCCTGTCACTTGTGGCAGTGCATGCGGTCCGACATTTCGCAACCGCAGCTGTTTTAGCAAGAACATTACACGCAGAAAAGATATATATTTGAAAGTAAAGTCTCCTATGGCTGGCAATAAGCAGATCGAGGTCGTGAGCCTGCGGTACCATTGTGAAGAAACGAACGGTGATCATTACAGGCAAGACCGGCAAAATGTTCACCTCCTCGGAGTGCAAGGAGAGCGCCGTGACCGACTGAGGTCACCGTCCGGCAGAAAGAATGCGCGCTACAAGCGCCGAATGTGCGCACAGGACCTTGATTCATCAAACTCGTTTCAATTGCACCCCTTTAAACGAGTGTTCTTTCTTATCACAAACTACGCCTGGTCGTCAGCAGCCCTGTTTCCGTACAAAGGGTCGGCTCCGAAATTCCCTGATCCAAGAAATCTGTGGCTAAATTGTTTTCTTGTGCATGCTTCAAACTAACCTGCAATCTTTTGTGTAAATTCTTATTTTTCCCAAACTTCTGTCACAGTGTTTTCTCCTCACAGACTTTCTACATTTTTCGACCACTTTCTTGCCCTTACTTGAAATCGGCAACGTCCTATCTTTCTCTACTCCCGTTGCGGCAATTATGTATGTTTAGCGCTCTGTAAATTCAAAAATACAGAAGTATGGCAAAGGAAATTTGAAGGGCCTGATAGGACAAATTAAGAGTCTTGATCTGTGAAAAATAGAAGGAAAATTAAGATGACCTTTATTGTAAGCTGATTTTCCAATTATTGCAAAATTGGTAACCTGTCTACATTTCAGCGTATTTTTTTAGAAAGGTTGTCGTTTTCAATTTCAATGACAATTTATCCGAATATGAAACGAGCGCGTCCAAATCATGTTGAAAAATTTGATTTTCCAGTCTTTTAAGATTCGGATCTATAAAGCTCTGAATTGCTTAGTAATCGAAAATACATGTTTACCCCTTTTTATTTTATGTGCAGTCTCTGCACAAAAATATAAAACCTAAGGCGACCACAGTTTTTCTTTTTTATAAATATCCAAAGGGACGGTTTAACGCAAGTCGCAAAAATCTTCACGTATACCGACAGCGACTTTGTGATTTTCGTTCCTCAAAAGAAATTTTATTTACCAAAAAAAAAATGTTCGAATATGTTTTTGCAGTTGCACAAGTAAAATATATCTTTTGCTAAACATAAAAAAATGCCGACCAGACATGGTCGTTCGATCCTACCTGTAAACGCCCCAATACAGACAATCTCAGTCAATCGAAATTGATTGATTTTTCCGCAGTTTTTTTTTTTCTTTCTTTTTTTTTTGTCGTTGTGTGGCCCTCCACGGCGGCGGATCTATTGTCGCTCACAGGCGGCGCACGTTCAGGTTCTGTCGCACCCTACCTCCTATATCAAGTTACCGCCGAGGTTGTAGGATGATCTGTTTGAAAAGTGGCTCCGGTTCCTTCCTTTATGTCGCGTTGACGGAAATGCTACACGCCAGCTGTTGAAATAGGCACCGCGAAGCATGTTACTGGGTGGCGAGCTGTTGGAACAGGCACCGCGAAGCATGTTACTTTGTGGCAAGCTGTTGGAATAGGCACCGCGAAGCATGTTACTGTGTGGCAAGCTGTTGGAACAGGCACCGCGAAGCATGTTACTGGGTGGCGAGCTGTTGGAACAGGCACCGCGAAGCATGTTACTGGGTGGCGAGCTGTTGGAGCAGGCACCGCGAAGCATGTTAATGGGTGACGAGCTGTTGGAACAGGCACCGCGAAGCATGTTACTGGGTGGCGAGCTGTTGGAACAGGCACCGCGAAGCATGTTACTGGGTGGCGAGCTGTTGGAACAGGCACCGCGAAGCATGTTACTGGGTGGCGAGCTGTTGGAACAGGCACCGCGAAGCATGTTACTGGGTGGCGAGCTGTTCGAACAGGCACCGCGAAGCATGTTACTGGGTGGCGAGCTGTTGGAACAGGCACCGCGAAGCATGTTACTGGGTGGCGAGCTGTTGGAACAGGCACCGGGAAGCATGTTACTGGGTGGCGAGCTGTTGGAGCAGGCACCGCGAAGCATGTTAATGGGTGGCGAGCTGTTGGAACAGGCACCGCGAAGCATGTTACTGGGTGGCGAGCTGTTGGAACAGGCACCGCGAAGCATGTTACTGGGTGGCGCCTCTCGATCGCTCTCGAGCCTTGGGCATTTTTGGGTCAGTTGCAAGAATGTGTGTTAGGAGTTCCCCTTCAAAACTAACGTCCACCTCTGTGCTGTAAATTTGTCTTTTTCTCACCGCCCCGTGGCATTTTTACGGTTTTTAATTATAATGAAACTGTAAAAAATGTGGTATGTCCACGCCCCATTTATGGCAACTCCGTTAGCGCCAATTTGGCCCTATTTCTCGCTTTATACCTTCAAAGGCAGAAAAATATTGTATTATGTTTTTGCAGATTCTGTTAGTACATATTATTAATGTTAATATCGGAGAGTATCGGTAAAAATAAATTTGGCCTTTTTTTTTAAATGATTTTCAAAGTAATGCCTTTCAGTCAAATGCCCCTGTGTGAGCAATTCTCGTAAATTTATTACGTCAACCCGGAAAACAATATTTCACACACAGATGAACTATATATAGGAAAACACACTGGCAACGTTTGAGGACCTTAGATTTTTTTTACATACGGAGAAACATATACTTAATCGAGAGCGTTATTGCACAATGTGCAGCACTTGCGATTTTTTTTTTGTAAAAATAACGACCCTAGAACTCGGTGGTTAATACTTTGTTGTCAATCCTTATACCTAATCTGTCAGTAAATATTTCTTGACCCTAAGCTGGAACAGTTTTTTGGGGGAAGCCGCCCGAAATGCCACCATCCCGCGATACGCAAAACGCGCACGTAACTGAAAGGGTGCTTACGAATGTTTTTCGCGAAGACAAATTTTTTTCTTCTAAGAAACAAGGATTTTTTTTTATTCCTCATGGCATGGAGCCAGCAAAACATATTTGTTTCATCAAAATTAAAAATGGTCACCGTACATGGTTGTTCAATCTTTTCTGAAAACGCCCTCGTTTCAAATGATCAGTAAAAAGGCGCACCGGTAGCTTTTCGGGGTGGCGATTGAATTAGCGTGTTCAATAGAAAAAAAAAATATTGAATCAGCGTGTCGTCAAGTGTGCCTTGTGCGTGTGTGTCATCTGTTTTCTAATTCCTTGTCTATGTTAAATGTATATTATGTGTGCAGATGTGAAATAAGCGCTGTTCAAATGTGATTGTAATGATCGTGGAAAAGGGCTACCTTTTTTCCATGATAACATATTTTTTTTACAAACTTTTGTATTTGACGCTGACATGCGCCACCTTGGGCTATAAAGGCGCAATTTAGTAATAAATAAAGTAAGAGCGCAACATTTTGTTCCAGTGGCATAAATGCAAGGGTGCAGAAGTTAGTCCTCTGTGTCCAACTTTGAGGGACTAACGGAAGGGGCGCAAACATTGCTCCCCTCTCCCTTAGTTCCGGAGGACTAATGGTTGTGGCAGCGCATTCCCCTTTAGGACTAAGTTGCGATCTCTTTTTTCTTAGACTGTAGATCCACCACTGTTTCCATGACTTACGTTTTATGAGACCTACAGGTACGAAGGTGGAATTTGACATTATATTATGCACAAACACAAAATCAGAGCTTGGGTTAAGATCCGCAAAGAAAACTGTTTTTTCTCCGTGAGATTCTTTCCACGTGTATTATAATGAAAATGTGAGGTTGTGTCCGGGACTGCAGGAGCACCTGTCAGGCGACTTGCATCGCCTTTAACACCAAGGTTTCCTAACCTCTCCCCTTGGAAAAAAATAAAAATTGAAATTGACACTAAATGGGTGATCTTTTGTCAAGTAAGCTTTGGATGCCCTGGACTCCTTGGTGCAGAAAAACTTGAGCAAGCTGGATCAGGATTCACTATGTTTGAGACCCCGTCTTTCGTTCGGCCCTTTAGCTCGCTACACTCGGGGACTTAACAGGTACAGGCACCGCTGAAGGACGTTCAAGTTGGTTTAGATACCTTGTACAGGAAGCCCTTGTTGTCCCCAATCCAGGCGATGTCGCTCATATTCTGTCGCAGGACGGTCACCGACGTGACCAGCCTGTCCTGAAGGTGCACCACCCGGGTTCCGGACAGGAACGTCTTCCCTTCGATGTAGGAGTTCATGCCGGGCGTGCATAAGTCCTCCTTATCCACTGGATCCTAGTAAAGAAATACGATATTAAGACTGTTCAATTGTTCACTGCAGTGCCAGTGAGCAACTCGACAACGAAGTCAGCCGTGACCGAGCTGAATATCCATGAAAAGAACGACGCGTGTCACGGCATTCAGTAAAGCATTTAAAAAGGGGCCTTCTGAGAGGGTAGAAGGATCCCAGTAAATGATGAAGCTTAAAATACTTACTATTAACTGGAGAAAGGCGAGGTGCGCTCACACAACAAGCGTCACGTTCTCATGATCTCTGCGCTGATACATCGCATCTTTCAAGTCTCCCCTTGGTCCTCCCTGTTTTAGTAATTGCGTTCACGCGCTTCGTAATTCGTACTTCGGCGTCCTTATTGATAAATGTCGAAATCCCGTTGACTGAGGAGCCATAAGAAGATGCTCGGCTGTAGTGTTGTAACCCTTTCCATCCTTCTTTTTTTTTCTTTTCTTTTTCTTTTTTAAATTTTAGTTTGCTTACACGAGAGAAAAAATCTTTGAACTTACGTAGCGCGTACAGTCCTGGGGTGTGCCGGGCTCGTGGAAAAGATGCGACACCTGGGACGTCGGCTTGGCGGCATTGCAGTCGTCGATGGCTTGGCGAAAGGCCTCCTCGACGTCCTGCATCCTGAAAGAGCAGACGGCCGAGCCGGCGCTGGCGTCGTTCTCCTGCATCCGGCCCCCGAAGGGCTTGCCGAAGGCCACGAGTAGCAGTCGGTCGCCCCCTTGGGACTGCGGTCCGGCGGACGCCGCCTGGGCGATCGGGAACCTGGACTTTCCCCTGCCACAGCGGACGGGCAGCTCGGTGTACGTCAGGAAGGTAGGGTCATCCCAGCAGACACGCACAATTCGTGTCTCAAACAGTTCCAGAGCCAGGCCGGCGTTCTGCACCGTGACGAAGTAGGCGAAGTCTTTGTGGCTCGTTCCGTAAACGTAGCGCACCTTGTAGGATTTCTTCAGCGTCCGGTCCACATCGACGAAGGAGGCCGAGGAAGCGTCCGACGAGTGCAGCTTGAAGGAGCCGTTCGAGTTCAGGTCGCGTGCCGACACCGAGAATGGGTGGTAGTCGAGCGGGCGGCCGTCGTAGGTAGATGCGGCGAACAAGGTGGCCCCCAGGAAGAATGCCACCGTGCTGACACGAGAGGCAACGTAGTTGACGTGCGATTTTTTATCCATTGCTCTCGAAGGGGTTAGGTTTCTCCGTACATGATGGAACGAGCAGATGCCCTGCCAGATGGTCCCACAAGTGAGCACAAGGGGATATGCAGGACCAAACTGCAGGAGTACCTGGTTGTCATTGTCCGTTAAAGTTCTGCCCTGAGGGCACTCCAAAGGGTCCGGGAGGCACTGGGGATTATCAGGACGAGGTCCTGTGAACTCCTTGGCCTCCAGATCAAGATCTGAGGACAGCTTGTAGAGGACGTTGCGGCCACCCACCACGACCACGCCGCCGTCGATGCTGAGGTAAATGACGTTCTGCAGCGGTCCGTCCTCCACCAGGAACTCGACGATATCGGTGGCAGAGTGAACGCTCGCCAGGAGGACCAAAACCCCTACCCAGGTCGTGCATCGCTGTGTTCCGTCCATGGCTGTCAGGGCCAATCCCAGGTTGGACCTGGGGTAGACCAGTAAGTATCTCGAAAACAGCCTTGAATCTGCATGGCTAGAACTCATCAAACTCAAAAATATGTGTTTTTGAAACAATTAGCGATTTTCATTCCATGTTTTTAAACCTACTTTCACGGCTTCGTATTTATACTTCGTCTCACCTTAGCATGGACTAACTTCGAAGGCAGTCCCAATAGTCTGACAAGGTGAGAACGGTAGGGAGCAGCTTCAGTTGGCCCGCCTCCAGCGCGAGCCTAATACCCTTGACAAACCTTCGGTGTTCGTGCACCTCGAGCACGCGCGTGCAGTAAAAGCACGACGGAAGGCATGAGGTGAGTGCTGGAGTCCAGGCGTTCGAAAGACATGCCCTGCTGTTCTGACGTTGTAAGTGATGTAGTGACTTTAATGACCATATTAAAAGTCAACTAGTAAAGAAAAGCCAAATTACCATTTGAAAGTCGAGAAACTACCTTGACTCGCTTCGTCCTCAATGATGCTATGCGGAGAAGCGATAATATGTCTTATATGAGCCGTTTTTACGGATGTTGTTTTAGCAACTGCACCGAATTATTATTAGTTGTACCAGTGGCTTCTAGGGAGAGACATCGTCCACAAACTTCGAAACACTGTTTTCCCTTTGACAGACTCCCGAGGAGAAGATGGAATACTTGGAATCTTAATAAGGTGCTGGGGTGGTCACCGGCCAAATGATTACCTTCAATATGTAGACTTTATAAGGCTCTGGAGCAGTCAATGGGACTTTGATTCAGGGGTTAAGTGCTTCATCATCATGGTGTTTGTGTTCATTTCTAATGTGCAGTTGTGGGATGTATGTAGTTGTGCCTTCAAATACCACAGGGACACCATTTACTTACAAAATAAAAAAATCGCGTTTTTTTACGTTATTTTGTTGCAGCCAATTTTGAAGAGAGTGAAAAGCCATAGTAATCTTCCACGGCTTTGTTGAATGAATAGCTAAGCTGTAAATATATTTTTTTATCCTCTGTAGCTTTTCAGCTGAAAAGCTGTAGCATTTCAATCGAAAAGCTACAGAAAAAGCATCCTGGAGGAGTCAAAAATTCTATTGACATTTCTATTACAAAATGGGCCAATATTCAAAAGAAAGTCAACGGAAAGGCTAGAGAAGGGCAGTTGAAAAGTTATTGACATTTTAGATCTTGTGATGACTTTTTTCAACAGCCTTTCAACAGAAAAACATCACATTTTTTTGCGAGGGTTCCCTTCCTACCTTGGTATGGACTAACTTCGAAGTCTGTGCAAGCGCGAGCGGCTAGGCTTGACTGCCTTGGCTGGAGCACTCGCTGCACAAGCGCTCGTGCAGCCGCCGAGGCTTCCTCCAAAGCAACTAGCTCGCGCTTTAGCATGCGCGGCTAACAATAGTCCATGCTAAAGTTAGAGAAATTGTAGAGTGCAAACGCCGTGAATATCTGCATCGCTCAAGAAGGCTAGCGAGCGAACTTGCCGCTACAACTTTCTGTTCCAGCCTCTCGGTGGTGTCCATTCACTCCGCTGGAGTCGCCAATACCGGCTGCCAGCCGAAAGAATCAAACAGAACTTTTACCACCACGAAAAAATAAACTAAGCCTCACGGAGGGTCAGACGATTGTAGCTGTGGTGATTGGGATGATGGCAGATTTCCTTAGCTTTGCAGTGAGAAACTCCCTTTCGTTCATGGCAAGTCATCTCCATATATGCAGGGACCGCGCTGTCCGCCACTCTTTAGTTGAGAATTCACAAATATCGTGCATAGTTAGAGCAGCTGCGATTCTTTGTCCCGTGTGGAGTAGCAAGGCCATGAACATACATGCGCATATTTCCGCGGAAATGTACTGTTCACTGCAATTTTTTTGTGACCGACGCTGACAAATTTTCAATGTTTTATTAACTTTGCATTGTCAGCCTTGATACATCAGTCGCAATGTCGAAGGACAATGCCAGATGTATACAGCACTTTTGGAAGCGCTGTGTTTATAGGCGCATGCAATGACGATCCATTTTTGAGAAATTAAAAAAAAACAAAAACAATACCAGCCGATCTGGCAATGGGGCATTTCACTGATATTGATGTATGCTATTGTCAGTGCTTGTTAGTAAACACAAATCAAGGCATTAGCTGCATCGCGCTCTTCCGCATCGCGCGCGTCACTGTTAACTTTCAGAAACAACCTACTTACACTCTAAAAAAAAGGGGGTGTAGTCGTTACACCCCTTGTCACATATACGACACCCCAAAACTTTAGTTTGATGTACAGCACACTGACGTTGTACCGGCGCTACCAAATGTCACGAGCGGCTTGATAGCCGAGTTGTACAACTCATTAAAACAGTTAATGTAAGTGTGACTGACTGCAAAAAAGTTACCGGGGTTTTCTTCTTTATTTCTCGCTTGCGCAATCACTCTCCTTCGCCTTAATTTTTATATCAGTATTATTACTTGACAATAAATAATATTATAATACCGAGTAATAGTATTTCGTATAAATCGCAATAAACTGCGACAACGGTGCACTGTTACGTAGAAGTTTCATAAAGCTTATTACCCGTCGTCTAACAATTTTATTGACTATTATAAGTAGTTAAATTTCAGAAGCTTGTCGGAATTCACCGTCTTGAGAATACCCCACTTACACGGCCACCATGGAAATTCCTTTGCAATCGGCGAATCGGCCCGCACTCTTGGGTCTTAACCGCACGCCATGCGCGGACAGTGGCGGATCCAAGGGGGGGGGGGGCGGTGGGGGCGATCGCCCCCCCCCCAAACGCCTCGCCATTTTTTTTTTTTTTTTTTTGTAGACCCTTTGCTTTTTTCATTTTTTGTCTTTTTGCTCGCTTTTGAAGCACATCCGTTGGTGCGCCAAAAAGTGTGGCGGCAACGCGAAGGGAGTGACGCTGTTGCTTCACTTTCAAGAGCATTCGTAGTGTTACTTATGCGCCATGAGGGAGGCACTCACTTGATCGAATGACGTTTTAGCGAACGCCCACGTTTCATCGAACGACACTTTAGCGAATAGTCGGACGCCGCGAAGCGGCGTTTTCGGGTGGGCCAAGTGAGTTCGTATTTTTGTAATTAGTTGCCGCAGACTGTCGCCGCGAAGCGGCGTAAAGCGCAGCGCGACGGATGGGTTAACGCGCGCCCCCGTTATTCGCTAAAACGACCATTCGCTCAAATGTCGCCGTTCGCTAAAATGTCATTCGCTCTCGTGATATGGACCCGCGCCATGAAGCCCCTGTTGTCTTTCTTTTGTACGTTTTGATCCTCCTAGACACCGAGAGGAAAATATGACTCAGGAACAACCAGGAAACTGGTACATTATTGACACACGCGTCATACAATGCCACATTGTCGCGTTTTGTCTCGCGCGTATCCCGTTACGTGAATAATTATTTCCGTAAAAAAAAGCACGCTGAACACTCAAATTTGGTCTGCATGAAGCTAATAAAACTTAGGAATGAAATTAAATTATACCTTGGTAGAAAGTCTGTGCCAACCGGGGCGTACTTCTCGAAGCGATATCTCGCGCGGAATTATGCACCCCTTTGACGGGCGGTAAACTCGGCAATCTCAAATCGGCATTTCTTTTTCTCCGGAAAGGACTTGCCAAAGGCAGTCATTTATGGCTCACGCAAAGTGAACAGGCTAAGGCACGTCTCAGTGAAGCTTGAGACTTGTGTCTAGGTGATAGCTGGCACTAAACAAAAACTTTCGTTGGGTGCCTTCACTCCAACTGTCGCATTTTGCCCCGCGTCTCATTTGGCCCATCTTACCCTACTTCACTTTGGACAAACGCAATCTATTAGTTTTGGAGCTTCCCCCACACGAGTGTTCGTGCGGTCGAGGTGTTTTTTGACATATCAGTAGTAACCAGGCATTGTGCGCAGCTTTTATCGTCGCCCAGCATGCTCGGGCTCACAAGCGCTTAGCTTCGAAAGCATACACTGTAAAAAGTAACCGTCAAATTTACGGCGCCATACGCTAATAAAAACTACAAGTACGTCGTGAAGAGGAATTATCTGAAATGCACCGTAAACGAGCAAACAAACCGAGAGGGAAACGCAAAACTTCATGGAGCAAGAAAACAGAAAGAAAAGACGGGCTTCGCTAATTGGTCACCACGCTTGACCTTTCGGAAGCTGCGGGAACCCAGAGAGTCTCCTCTCGCCCCTTCACCTCCTTTCTTTGTCCGCGCCAGCCGCGCCAACGCAGAGCGTAACTGCCTTAACTGAAAAAGGAAAAAAAAAGAGAACTAAGAGCAAACAGTAGAGCAACAATGCGACTAGCTAGAAGCATAAACAAAAGAAAGGAATGTTGGTTGGGACAACGCGGAAAGAAGTGGAAAAAGCTGACGTTCAGTTCATTTTCCCGCCTTCCCACCCGTCTCCGCGCCATTTTGTCCTCGTTCGTTTGTGGCATTCCCGGATTTTTGTGCACCTGAAAATTTGGAGCGGAAGGCAACTGGATACTCGAGGCAGGTATTTCACTATCAATCTGCTGCTTGATTGGCAAGGATAGTGTAATGGTGGCATAAATACAACACTCTAAAAGATGTTTACTTGCAGAATTTGTAGTTTCTGTTCAAGCACGCTTGATGGTTGTGCAATTCGGGTCCATATCACAAGAGCGAATGACATTTTAGCGAACGGCGACATTTGAGCGAATGGTCGTTTTAGCGAATAACGGGGGCGCGCGTTAACCCATCCGTCGCGCTGCGCTTTACGCCGCTTCGCGGCGACAGTCTGCGGCAACTTATTACAAAAATATGAACTCACTTGGCCCACCCGAAAACGCCGCTTCGCGGCGTCGGACTATTCGCTAAAGTGTCGTTCGATGAAACGTGGGCGTTCGCTAAAACGTCATTCGATCAAGTGAGTGCCTCCCGTGCAATTCGATGAGCACGTTTTCAGCTCTCGAATTCTTCAGTGTGTGGACGAAGGATGCTGTCGCCAGTTTGTTACGTATGATGCTCTCAGGTGTCATATTTTGAGAAGACATAGGCATTGGTACGCCTAAGGGAAGTTTGGTTTGTTTCGACGAGTTTGGAAAGCTTTCAGTGCACTTTGCCACCATGCCTAGAGGAGTGCCACACAAGGGAGGCTTTGCTAAAACATCTAAAAGGCCACATCACCGACAGTATTCTGTTTTCGTGTTCGTGCTCCAACTGTCAGAAGGTGTGAAATCATAGTTCGATCACGGCACATTTGAACTGGGCGCATTTACGAGTGACGGGTTTCTTGGGCGACGGCGCATCGCCTGCAGGCCCGCTTCAGGTTGAGGACTCTTCGACTCGGTCGACTAGTGCGGATTCTAATGAAGACGGTGCTGTTAACGTGATGCAATCCCCTAATGATAACTACGACGTGTTAATGTCTCTGTCTGCAGGAGAAAAAAGGAAGGCCGTAAAATACGACCTTGTTTTTTTTGTACCTGAAGTTCAACGGAACGCTTCTTATGCCGGTATCAACAGTTCAAAAAACCATTTATGAATTTCAAGGTCGGCATTTCTTGTACAAACAATACATGTTCGGCCAACTTGCTGAAAGCCTTCAAAACGTGCTTGGTTCAGTCGAGGTTCATAACATCATTGAGTTCATAACATCACTATACAATGATGTTATGAACCTGAATACTACCACCTTTCTCGCCGTTTAAATTGCACCGTAAAAATAACGGCGCGCTGTAAATTTTTTTTTACCGCAAATTTGAAGGCCGACCGTAGATTTCGGGAGGCACTCACTTGATCGAATGACGTTTTAGCGAACGCCCACGTTTCATCGAACGACACTTTAGCGAATAGTCGGACGCCGCGAAGCGGCGTTTTCGGGTGGGCCAAATGGGTTCACATTTTTGTAATGAGTTGCCGAAGACTGTCGCCGCGAAGCGGCGTAAAGCGCAGCGCGACGGATGGGTTAACGCGCGCCCCCGTTATTCGCTAAAACGACCATTCGCTCAAATGTCGCCGTTCGCTAAAATGTCATTCGCTCTTGTGATATGGACCCCCTGACTGGTGCCCCATACGAGCAGGCACGTATGGCGTGCACGTGAATATAGCTTTGGTAGGCTTGCAATTGCACGTGATTTTCCGCGCGAGCAGAGACATTGCGTTGGCCAGATGCCCAGCTTTCTGAGGCTATGCAGTCAAAAGTACGGGAGCGTGTGCCTTGGTGTGCATAGCCACAGAAAGTTCAAAGAGTTCATCCCCTACAGGTAAACCGATACAAAAGCTCTCAAGATCTATATTATGTTATCGGAGTTTAGTAAAAACGATGACTCCACAAAAAATATAAACACTCCCTGCCCCCCCCCCCCCCCCCCCCCCCCCCCGTTTTACGCCGAGGAACCGCCCCCCCCAAAATGGAGGTCTGGATCCGCCCCTGTGCGCGGAGGGCCGCGAACTGATTCGCCGCCGAGAATAGACCCTTTCCGAAATTAATCACCTAAGTGTACATCGTCCATACATGCTAATGGCTGCCATGTTGTAGCTGATAAAGGAAGAATTCGAAGACAGGCATCGACATGGAGCCTGAGGGAGAGAAAAGGAGAAAGGGCAGCGGGATTTTTCCTGTTTCCACTGAGCGGTTAGGAAGGAGCGAAAGACCCGGATGAACGCTTTGGGCGCATCTGTTCTTCCAAGTTCGGTTGTTTTCTTCGCGGTTTCCTCTATTTTATTTAACATCCAGATATTTTTACAGCTAGTTGAATCAATGATGAAGACCCGTGGTCATCGGGACATCATTGTTTGATTATAGGCTGCACGATTACTAACCGAAAGGGCAGAATATTACCGGAAGACATCTGTAACAGCGAGTGTTGTTACAGATGTCTTCCTTTGCGACTGCGGCTGCGATGTCTCCAAGCTCCATCACTTTCCAAATGACCGAAACCTCTGGCGGCAGTGGGTTGCGTCTGTAAACCGAAAAGATCTTTCTCCGACGGCATCCTCGCGAGAGTGCGCGAAATATTTCGTGAATAGAGCTCGCACCAAACTTACAGCGGTTACGTCGATCAACATGGGCTTCGCTCGCAAGGAGGGTGCAAGTTTTCTCGTGATAATCGCCTGTTTCTGCTTGTAACTTTTTGTAAGTTAATGTATCTTAACGCTGATATCAGTGGTGACATTGACTTGATTTTATCATCTAGAACATTTTGTTTAAGGCTCATTTCCGCAGCCCGGTGTGGCTGGAAATTGTCCAAAAGGTAGTTCTATCGGTTTTCCTTTATCGCAATCTCCTACGCGATGGCAAATAGCCGTACACTTACGTTGACCGTCGCAGCGCCGACCGGGTTCTTCTTATTTTGCAAATTACTACTTAACGTAGCTGCAAAGAAATCTTCAATTTTTATTGCTGAAACAACCTCATGCATCCATTCCGAATCGCTGAATCATTGATCGACTAGCTCCGGCAATGGGCCCACCTTAACTTTGCTGTTTTCACGCAAGCCTCACCGGTGTACTTCCCCGACAAACGTCAGCAATCTGAAGGCCAACAAATTCCGGCGCATGAATCACTGAGGCGTGTCCGCCTAATCATCGGGGCCTCTCTCTCCATCCGCAAGCAATCCACGGCTATGTGACATCCATGAAAGTCAGAGTGCCGAAACTGGCCTGTGGACTGACTCCACACGTTTTGGCGAAGTCGCCTCCGGCCTAAATTATTACCATAAGTAAACCGAGTTTCCCTGGATTTCGTGGGGCCACTTTCCGTGCCACACAAACTCAGTTTCTCCGCCAGATTTAGCGGGAAAATTGACGTCCCGTGAGCTCAATCTATATTCAGTTTCCCCGCAAAATTTAGTGGGAAAATTACGTCACACGACTGTGTCACGTGACCTATATACAAGTTCAGCTTCCACGCTAGATTTATCGGGGAAATTGACATCACATTATCTCGACGAAAGTTAAGTTTCCCCGCAAAATTTATCGGGGAAATTGTCATCATGTGACCTAATTTCACGTTATGCTAAAGCGTTGTACATATGCAACCCCTTGCAATTTGCCATACAATTTCTTTTTTGGTAACGGAGTAACGTGCTCATTGTGTTTTCAAGACAGTAATGTGTAGCGTACTTACGTTACTCATTTCGAGTAGCGTACTCATTACATCTTCTTCCTGAGACTTCTAAAAATTTACACCTCAATATTTTCGTGTTTCTAGGCGCCAAGTTATGAATTCTCTCGCTCATCACACACACCTTCAAAATCAGAACCGTAAAAGCAATAAGGCGATTTAATAAAAATCCCTGCGTGGACATAACGATTTCTTCTTCTTTTTTTTTTTAACATGGCACATTTGCGTAGCTGCAACTTCAAAACGGTAGAGCGTTTTAATCAGACTTGTTCGTACTTCGACTACTTTACTCAAGTTACTGTAGTTTAACTACTTTTCGAAGTAGTTTCGCAACTTTCAGTTCCATTTTTATTTCGGTAATCAGTAGAAGCTAGTTTGCTGAAGGCGTTGGCTGCTATCAGAAACATTTTGCCTTCTATGGCAACGACCATCGAGACAATCGGATACACTGCACATTGACTTCGCTGGCCCCATTGAAGGTAAAATGTTGCTGATAGCAGTCGAAGCTGGCTGGAAATGGCTGGAAATTTGTCAAATGAAAACTATCAACTTAAGCTCACTGATTCAGGAACTCCGGAACTTGTTCGGAACGTTCGGCGTGCCACGCAAGGCTGTTAGCGACAATGGTACATCATTAGTGTCAGATGCGATCGAACACTTCTTAAAAAATAACGAAATTCGTCACGTCACAAGTGCTTCCTATCATCCGGCGACCAATGTTCAAGCGGAAAGGATGGTTTACGAAACCAAGCAGGCGTTGCCTGAAGACAAGACAGGAAGTTTATCGTGCCCACTTGCTCGATTTCTTCTGAAACGGCACAGAAAAATTAAAATCACGACAAGAAAGACTCCGGCTATACTAATGTTTGGTCGTGAGTTGTCAACCGCGATCACTCTACTACATCTGCAAGCTAGGGGGAGGAATGAAGGGACGTCGGATACAACTACGTCCTCAATAAATAATTTGTCTAACCGAGAAGAGTACATAAAAAAACTTTGCTGGAAAGCCATCGTGGATCCGAGGAACCGTATTAAAAAATGAAAGCCGTTTACAACTCCCTGTAACGCCGAATCAGAGCGCAGCTCTTGAGGAGGAGGAGGGAAGGGTACTGGGGGGGGTCAGTCGACCTCGGACCGGGGGGCGTATTTTGAAATCCTACCCAGTACAAGGGGGCGGAGCCAACAAAAAAACAAAAACAAACAAAACAAAACTATGTCGACTCCTATTGGTCCACGTGACTATGACGTCACTGGCTGTTCTTTTTAGCGGCAGCAGCTTTTTTTTTAGTTTTGTTTTGTTTTAATTACAAATTCACTGTAATAGGCAGTTGCGCGGGTTGCAATAAGGGTTAAAATAGTTCGCGATACTTTTAATTACGAACAAAAGTCGTTGCGCTAGCAATAAATGACGCCCAAAGATGCGATTGCACCATTGCACGGCCGAGACGACGCGGACTGACGCGGACGGACGTGTTTACGCTGATGTGCGCGCGGGCTTTATCTCGCAAGCTTCCAAAGGTTTGTGGTTTCTAGTTTATGTAATTGTGTTTTTATAGTCTCGAGCATCTCCGCGCATTGAAACACGCCGCACTCCAGAATGCCAGTGTCAGTTTGATGGAGGCGATACTGTTTGTATTGTACGCCGAGCTACTGAAGCCTTTAAGCCTAGCTGGAGAAAAGACGATAGACTTGTTTGCGTTTAAAACGTGAAATGTCGTGTTCGGAAGGTGCGTACGTACAATGCCAGACCAGCTGAACCAGTCCCACACGAACAGTTGTTTAGACTGGTGCACGACCGCTAGAAGCGCACATCCGAGAAACTGCCTACGATAGCAGCCACCTTCGCTCAACTCCGAGACATTCGGAAGGGTTCCGCACCGCGGGAGGCTGCAACGCCGAATCTGTACCGCGGAGTCGCACAGGTTCGCTTGCGAAGGACCTTCACACGGTTATATGCGAAATATAAGATAGTCGCACTTTAGGGACACTTATCAAAGCTTTGGCATGCTCTTGTGAAGTATCACAAAATTTGCAACTTCAAATTTGTTTCTAGAATAATGCGGGTTGACTGCATATCTCCTGAAACAGTGGAACCTCGTTTGATTATTTCAACCTACCTAGGCCTTCACAGGCATGAAGCAGTCTCTCAACACAATGACCCTCTTGTCACCATATCAAATGAGAAACGAGTTGGCTGGACCGTTATAGGATTAAAGAAAGTATATTTAGAAAACGGTAAAAATATATACAAATGTGCAAATAAACTTGAATCATACTCAGTTTGTGTGGGCTTGATTTTCCGGTTCTCGTCACTGGTCTTGTCACCGTCCTGAAGCTCCGGCAAACCAGCTGTTCACCTGCTTGGTCGTCGAATCCAGCTGCTCTAACAGTGGCACCTGGATTCAGCCTCTTGCGGGCACTGACCAATCTTAAAATGGCAATGCCTCAAGCACCTGCCAGAATTAAAGATAGTTGGGTGGGTTCCTTCAAGTCGCTGCCAAGAGTTGCTCCTGCCGGTGAATTATCATTCCAGCTTCTCGTCTGCAGGTGCCCTGGGTCGCCGCCGAGAATTCCCGCAAGGGCCTCGGGTCATTACAGTTTGTCTGGTTGTTGCTGAAACACTCATCTGGATTATCGTCCGAGTCGACTTGCACGGGGCACGCCAGACTCCGTTGTTCAACCCTTGCCACTAGCTGCTCGCTCCCGGTTGGTTTGCCCCTCCTATTCCTGGCTATATTCCATACCTGCCAACTCTTCCTAATTTTTCGTAAAATGTATGAATTGGGAGTAATTTTACGATTTTACGAATCTTGCTTCAAACCTTACAAAAACCTTTTTTCTTTTTTTTTGTTGTTTTTGTAACTCTGTTGTTGGCGGTATCTTGCACCGCCACAAGAGGAAGATAGGTACCGTCCACAGCAGCGTCGTGGTTCTAACTATTTGTCTATCCGGTGGCCACGGATCGAAAACCAATCCAAAGCTCAAAGCCTTGTGTTCGGCGGTGCACGGGTGCACATTGGTTCGGCGTGCTCAGACGTTGTTGGGCCTCGTTGCTTCGGACAGTTTCGAGGCGAGAAGTATGGCGTCTGTGTTTGTTGCACGTGTAACTGTAGCATTCTCTTGGTCACTGTGGCTTTGCGGCGCAATACCAAACTCCAAACCTCAAAAGAGGTACTTTCAGGTGTTCATGAAGTCCTACACCTCGAAATTTCCGTGCTTCATGCCACCCAAAAAGCGAGAGAAGTTTGGATTCTGTAGCACGTGCACGTGTGATGTGAGCGTTTCGCACGCTGGCCAGGCTGACATTAAGCTGCACATCGCTTCGCGTCACCTCCCCCGCCGCGGCTGCAGAACTTTTACAAATTTGAAAGTCCACAGGTTGGCAGGTATGGGATCCCCTTCACCAGAATTTAGTTGCACTAAATTTCTTATGTGGCATGTTATGCAATCTGTACACAGTTTCCTAGTCACATCACTTTGTAGCCCTAAAACAATTATGTTGTGTGCTTGTCTTTAGGCAGCCAGAAGTTAGTCAGCCTCAGTGGGCATCAGGTGTCTCAGCTGTAGGTGAGAAATGTAGCCAGTGCAGTACCCCTGCTAGCCTAGGGTCTTTAACGACCATTAACATCCCAACAAACAATATATTTTCCTGCACAACCGTATGGTACAGCCAACAAACTCCCCATTTTGACTGTCATTAATTAACTGGAAACTTCAACCAGTATATTTTTCAGTAAAGATAAAACATGCAATCTTTCCTACCTACCAAGGCTTTCCTCCTACCGTATTGCAGCTCGGGGCACATACAGCAAAAGCTTCTGCCACACAGCAGTTTTAACTTGTCTTGATAATTGATGCGACGAGTCACTTGCTGTAAATGATCAATTTAGCCAGTGCAGTACAATTGCTAGCCTGGGGTCTTTAACGTGCATCATGCAGTAGTGATATTCGACCGCATGCCGGTACGATACTCATCCAGATAGAAACGTGCAGGGGTGGCAATTGAGCCCAGGATTCCTGGGTTCTGCAGCGCGAGCTTTCGCTCCACGTGCTCCGAGCTGGTGTGTGCTAGTCCACCGATCCCCCTTTTTTAGCTTGTCTTACTAAACTGACTGACTGCAAGCTCATTTGCATAAAAAATATCAGCATGTCTTCACATTTGAGATAACAAAAACAATCTCTCATTTTAGCAGTAGCCTGCATAGCGTTCAACATCCCATACTCTTGGCTAAAATGTATGTTCTACCACTTTTGCTGTTGTACACGGTTAGTGCAGACAGGGAATTCTTTTTGTGATAGGGTTAAGGATGGTGTACTAACACATCTATCGTTACGTTTTGCGATATTCTCTGCCTCAATGGTTTCTCTCATTGAGAAATTGAGGCAGAGATTACAGCAAAACGTAACGATAGACGTGTTAGTACTCAGTCTTTAACCTTATCACAAAAAGGACTAGACTACCTAGCCTTACATTAATTTTAATTTAAGTTGAGAAATCATTGAGGCAGAGAATGCCGCAAAACATAATGAGAGAGGTTTTAGTACTCCGTCTTTATCCTCGTCATAAAAAATTAGACTACGTAGCCTTACATTAATTTCAATTTGAGTTAGTTTACAGTTTAGCTTCCCATTGAAGGAAATAAGACCAATTATTTTCCATGGCTCTAGTTCATAATACAAAAAGAAGACAAAGAAAAAAGTAAATATACCAGAGTTGTTAGTCAGCACTGAGTAATTGTCTTTTTTTTTTTGTGTGTGGACTTGAGTGACTGTTTTGCGGGTCTGCTGTTCCCCCTGTACAAATGACCGATCAACTCGCCTGAACCTGCGTGTTAACGGGTAGTGACCCGTCTCTAATCACAACAATGACGACAATAGCCGAAGCCTAACAATATCTGGAACTTAGCACGTGTCCTGTGCTTTGCCAACCTCAGCGCGTGGCTATGATCAACATAGGTGGCACTTTATCGACTCCAGATCTTGTGGCTGCGAGTTCAGGGAGTCAAAGCTGCTCGTTTTTCAATAATTTTTGTTTTTGTGATGTTTATTGCATGGGGAGAAAAACGAACGTGTGTTTTATTGGTCATAAACGTCTGATTCATTTTGAGCGGTATTCATACAAAGTACAAAAATTGTTGAACTGCCCTTTTAACTTTAATCCCGGTCAAAAGTTAACCACATTTCCCTACGAGGAGGAATTTTAGGTCACGTGACTGGTACGGCGGGGAGAAATGGCGGTGGCCCTGCGAGGGAGCGTCGCTCGGTGTGGAACTAATACATCATAGTAGCTGCAATCTCAGGCGCTTTAGTCGGCAGTGAATGGTGCAGGAGGCTGCCACTTTTGCTTTCGACATTCCTAAGCCTAAATGAATACGGTAATTGTAGGCATGGCAATGTCTTTGGAATACTATAGTGGATTGCCTTGACTCAATCAGCTGGGTAATGATAGCATGCAAAAGCAGACAGTGCCCCAATAGACCTTTTGCTAAATTTCCCATGCACCAGGGTGCATGCTAAAAGTGTAGTTACATGTGCTGGCGTCTGAAGTAAAAAGCCTAAAACAAATTTTGCCTTGCATGTGCGTTCGTCAAAGTCTTATTATGATAATTTACTTTGAATCTTTATTATGAGAAAGGCCAGCGCGTGCGAAGCGTGGAATTACACTTTCAGCATTCTCTTGATGCTTGGGTAATTTAGTAATAGGTCTATATTCACTGAGACCAAATTACATGGTTTTCAATTTATGATGGGTTTTATATACAGTTTACATGCTGACCAACCATGCTGCCGGTGTACCACCCGCCTTTCAGTGTTCACTTCTTGCTGATCGTTTCTAGGACTGAAGTTCATCGTCCTTTTTCGAACTTAGAACGAAATTTCAACGAGGCTTGTTTCACTTCAGACTGCGAAACATTTAGAAATTTTCCAAACAACGGTTAATTTGGTTTTACCTTATCCAATATCTGTACCACACGCAACAAAAACCGTTTCTTAAGCTGTTTGCCGCACTGCGTCGCGAAAACCCGGTAGCGCACATTCTTGGGTCCCTCCTTTTCGGGTACTTTTCCTTGAAAGCCACTTACATTCGCTACAGCCAGTAGGTAGCACCAGCTACCCCCCATAATAAAATATGGAGATCGCTCATTCTGCCCTCGCCAAACTTGGCTAGGTACTTGTAAATACCTAGCAGGGAAACTTTTTACCATGGTTAAAGTTAATTAGCTTCAAGCAAATGGGTTCTGGCTTCCTGTTGGGTTTTCTCTTCAGAGACCCCAGCAATGGACCTTTTTCCAGTAAGCTTCTGCGCATGCATACGCCCCCTTCCTTGTTCTTGTTTCCCGCTGTCACCATTTTGGCGGGGCAAAGTTCCAGTCAACCAACATATTCAGCGCTTATCGTAGCACGTATTTCATGTTTTTTGGCTATTCTTGTTCGAGTATGGGGCATAAAGGCCTGTTCTCACACTTGCGAATTTTAAGACAGAGTGCCTTGGAACCTCTTAAAATCTCTTACGAGAGGACACACTGACACCATCTACAGTGCAATCCACTTATAACTAGAGCCCTGCGTGGATAACAGTTTGATTAATCCGCATCCGAACCGCATCCGTAAACTTTTTACATTATTGTATCCGATACGCATCTGCAGGCTTTTTATCTGAATCCGAACCGCATCCGCAAAATGTGGAACCAGATCCAACTCACAATCCAAGCATTCATTGTACATCATAACATCAAGCGTAACTGAAAAAAAAAAGAAAAAAGAGCATTTTTATGTTGTTTTTTTATTTTTGTACAAAGAAATCTTCGGGTCACCATTCTAAGGGGTTTCAGTTTCATCATATTTATATTAAAAGCGATCAGCCTTCCCGAGACACTACGCATAGAAGGAAAAATGATCTCAGTTATGCGATCATCCTAGGAGTCCGCGACACTCTGCCCAAAAGAAGCACACAAAAAGGATACATATATTTATGTATTTTTTGTTTTGTAACACCTATTTTATGCAGACGCATACTTTTGAAACATAAGAGTTAAAAAAGGGCATATTAAATTATGACATTTCAGTTCCATCAAACAATCAAAAATAAAGAGGTTCATATTCGTCCGGCCACTACGCAGGGCGTTGTAGTTGGACGAATATGAACTACCAGACTTTTTGGCTAGGACTCTAAGCATACAAAAAAGAAACACACAGGCAGTTTACGGGCTGCCTATGTGCGTGCGCTGTTGATTCTGAAACTTTACAAACTGTGGCCGCCACAGGGTCTTTTGTTTTTGGAATCATGACCACGCTACTCTTTGCAGAGAGGGGGACGTTTCTTCTACTTTCTTGTGACTTGTACGTTTGGGGTTTTCTTTACAAAGAGAAGAGAAAGTCTTCCGCTTATCTCGAGATGATTGATGCCCTACATTCTTTGCTTTTTGTACAGATAGCATTTTTGATGAGATGGGACGCATTAACTGAAGCAATCTTTAGTGAGAATCAGATCTTTCTTAGAATTCCTATCCTTTCTTCGAAAAACGTTTTGTGGAAATATGTTTTATGGACATACATTTCATGAACAGACTGTTTGTTGTATTGTTGACAACGCATTTCTTCACTAAGCCGCTAAAAGCTAGCGTGCGATTCACTAAGGCCTGCTAACCAAACCATGCCTCCCTTTCCCCTGTAATCCAGGTGAGACGCAAAACGTTTGTTACGAA